CTATATTGACCAAAGACGCTTTAAATTGACCTTGGGCCAAAATATTGAAATTGTGGCTCCACATGCAGTTGAAGCCATGCTGCACAGTCCTGAAAGATGGATTTCCAACGTCCGGATTACTCAGTACCAGGTACTGTTGCTTAACCCCCCACAGACCCAGTTTTTGAAAACTGCAGCCCTGAACCCTGCCACGCTGCTCCCGGATGATGACCCGCAGGCTCCATTGCATCACTGTGTTCAGTGCCTTGAGCAGGTAACTGGACTATGGCCAGGCTTGAAGGATGAGCCGTGGCCTAATCCAGATGCGGTATTATTTACCAATGGAAACAGTTTTGTAACCGACGGAGTAAGGTATGCCGGGGCAGCCGTAGTAACAGTCAGGGATGTGATATGGGCACAGGCCCTAAGCCATGGGACATCGGCACAGAGGGCTGAACTTATAGCTCTAACACAAGCTTTACGGTGGGGAAAGGATAAAACTGTAAACATCTATACTGACAGTAGATATGCCTTTGCTACTGCCCACATACATGGAGCTTTATATAAGGAAAGAGGACTTTTAACATCAGGAGGCAAAGAAATTAAAAATAGGGAAGAGATCTTAGCCCTGTTAGAAGCCATTTGGCTACCAAAAAGAGTAGCCATAATTCATTGTTTTGGACACCAAAATGCAGAGACTGAGGTGGCACAAGGAAATTCCTTTGCAGATCAGATAGCAAAGGATGCTGCCAGAAAACCAGTGGGGCCCGTAGACATCTTGCCTTTAAAGCTTCCCCCAGCCTTTGAAGAAAGGCCTGAGTATACCCCGTTTGACTTGGAATTAAGTGAAAGACTGGGAGGACAAGAGGGAAAACAAAGATGGAAGACTGCTCCTTCCTCAGGCTTTGGGAAGGACCTTAGTGGACTTAACACACCAGTCCATCCATCTAGGAGGAACCAAGTTAATTGAACTATTGAAAAGGGATTATCATGTTCCAGGACTGACAAGTTTAGCCAAGGACGTGGCTAATAGGTGTGCAGTATGTGCACAAGTAAACCAAGGAAGGACCTCCACGGAACAAGGAGTGAGACTCAGGGGAAAGAGACCTGGAGAGCACTGGGAGCTTGATTTTACAGAAGTTACGCCTGGAACTTTTAGATTTAAGTACCTATTAGTTTTTATTGACACATACTCTGGATGGACTGAGGCCTATCCCACTAAGCATGAAACTGCACAAGTAGTAGCTAAGAAATTAGTATCAGAGATAGTTCCAAGATTTGGCCTGCCCATAACATTGGGGTCCAACAATGGCCCAGCGTTTATCACTGTAACTAGTCTAATTATGGCAAAATTACTAGGAATAGAATGGAAATTGCATTGTGCTTATAGACCACAGAGTTCAGGCCAGGTAGAGAGGATAAATAGGACTTTAAAAGAAACATTGACTAAGTATAAATTAGAAACTGGCGAAAATTGGGTAAGCCTCCTTCCCTTTGCACTTCTCCGTGCTAGATGTAACCCCTATGTAAAAGGAATAACGCCTTATGAAATTATGTTTGGGCGTCCACCCCCTTTACTGCCCAAACGAGGAAGTAGAAAAGAAATAGAAGTACATAATCTGTCCTTGCTTAAGTCTTTGCAGGCTTTACAATTAGCCCAAAGAGATGTAAATCATCTGGTGTTGGCCACCAGAGAAGATAAGAACTTCTCCTTCCAGTCCCACTCTTATGTGACTGGGTGACTGGGTCTGGATAAAGAAAGTGCAACCTGCTGCTCTTGAGCCTCGATGGGAAGGCTTGGTTCCTGTCGTCTTGACCACACCAACAGTGGTTAAGGTCCCTGGACGACGCCATTGGATCCATCACACCCAACTCAAAGCAGCCCAGCCTCCGGATCCTGACCAGAGATAGAAAGCAACGCCCACTGGAGATCCCCTCAAATTAAGACTTTCACGGATTTAATATTTTTACTTGCAGCTTGTGTGGCTGCCAATCCTCATCAACCCACATTGCTTAAATGGAACTAAAAACTACTACAAGGTCAGTCATGGTATGAAGGTTTATTTAATGCAGCCCCTTGGTTAACGACATTATTGTCATCTATTGCTGGACCTTTAATATTGGCTTTTCTAGGACTGCTGTTTAGACCATGTATAGTGAATTGCCTTATAAATTATATTAAACAGAGAGTCCAGGCTGTTAAATTAATGGTATTATCTACTCAAATAACAGGGGTACCTCAGTTGCTCCCAGTTTATAGGAAATCAAAGATTTGATATATGCCTTAAAACCAGTGGGGAATGTGATAGCCTGCTGAAATGTGAAAGGGTTAAAGGATAATTAAAACCTGAAACTAGACAAAGGAAGTCTATACCTTAGGCCTAGTTTCTGGAACTCCTAACCGCATTCTGTTAATCACGAAACTTGTAACAATGAGCTCATACGCTAACTGCCAATTTTAGCCTGTGTAACCCTGCTTGCTTGCGTGGCATGAAAAATAATCAATTGTATATAAGCTGAA